CAGAGCCATTCAAAACCTGAGGTATCTGTGGCAACTGCGAAGTTGATGTCCGAATACCACCAAAAGGCACGGCCACAGAAGGTCCAGCAGAATCAGAGCCATTCAAACTTTGAGGTATCGTAGGCAACTGCGAGGAGGGTGTTGGAATACCACCAGAAAGCACAGCCACAGATTCACGCACCGAATCAGAGCCATTCAAAAACGGAGGTATCGTAGGCAACTGCGAAGTGGATGTTGCCATACCACCAGATGATGCAGCCATAGATTCACCAGCCGAATCACAGAAGCCACTCAACAACTGGGGTATCGGCGATGTGGAGTTCATGATCTCGCCGTTCCAGTCCACTACTTCGAACGTGAAAGCCACTTCTGGATTGCCCTCTCGCCCTGGCTCCGCGGCGCGGACCCGACCAGCTTCTGCGCGTTCAGCTCGCACAGCGTGCGGTAGATCAGGGTGCTGAGCTTGCGACCGCCCTCCGTGTCCGTGAGGATGTGAAGGCGCAGCTTGACCATCTTCTCCATGCGCTTGCTCTTCTCGCCCCGGGGCTGCTGGAACGACATCGTGCGGACCATCATGGCGAGCTCGGCGGGCGTCTTGTCCTTGATGTGCGTCTGCCAGAACGCCTCCACCTCCTCCTTGTGAATCCCCGTCGCGGCCTGCTTGCGGATCTCCGACATCACGAGAAAGAAGACGACCAAGAACGGCGGGCCGAGGCTCGAGGTGTCGACCTGCGGGTCTGAGGCGGCCTTGGCTTTGAGGTCGGCGGCGGCCTTGGTGTACTGCGCGTTCGCTAGCAGGCCTGCCTTGGCCAGCCACGTCTCCTCGGCCAGAAGAAAGGTGTCGTTTACGTTGGCCTCGAGATCGGCGATGGCTCGGGAGTTGGCCAAGGTCTGGCGCGCCACCCACTTGAAGGTCGCCATGTCGATGCCGTCCGTCGCGTCCGTGTGACCTCGACCGCGCCCGTCGCCGCTTCCACGGCCCCCTCCCGCACCCCCAGTCGCGACGACCAACGTCTTCGAGGCCTGTCCGCCATCGCCCTCGCCCTTGCGCTTGCCCAGTGGGAACAGCCACGCGGGGGCGTCGTGGATTTCCAGCTCCATGGCCTCGGACATCACAAACCTCGGGCTGGGCAGGTAGGTGTAGCTGAGCGTGAAGGTTATACTCAGCCAGCGTCAGGAAACTTGAGCCGCAGACTCGACGCGCAAGATCCTCAGGGGGCTGCACCTCTCGAAGGGTCGTCGCCTTACCTTTCAGGCACCTGCCGTGGAGGATGGACCCGTGCAGGTGTTTTTGCGCAGTTTTTCGGTCCCAGAAGGTCTCCTGGCAGACGATGCATTGATTACATTTGGTAAGGGCCTGAGAGAGTTTGACGGTCCCGTGGATGCGCCTGATGTGGTTCACGAGCCCAGACCTGGAGGAAAACGACGACGTGCACGAGGGCCAGGGACAGGTATGTGGGAACTCTGTGTTCAGGGCCGCCGCTTCGAGGGCCTCAAAATCCTCAATGACTCCAGGGGGAGGTACTTCGAGGGTCTGGGCTGCGCTACGAAGAATACCCACATCAACCTGAACAAAATCACGAGCATTCTCAAACTCGAATAGCTTAATGATAGAGCCCCCGACCCGCTCCCAGATCCCATGTGCGTCTCCACTCCATTGAGCAAGGGTGATGAGATCGTCCTGAAGCCGTTTAGCCCAAGGATTTGCCTCCGAGTGTATCGTCCCCTGGTCCGTGAACACCCCCTCCCCGTTCATGTTGCCTAGCATAGCGGCTAAATATTGAACATGCGCATGTGGTCGTTTTAGGCATGCCTGAAACCAGCGAAGACGCCGAACTTGGAGTTCAATCGATATAGGTACTAGCCTCCACCATTCAAGAACCTGCCTCGAAGTAAGCGATCGACGACGACCAAATGCATCCTCCCAGCTAGCCTCGCCTCGCATAGCCTTCCGAGCGAGTGCAGCAATGGCGAACTCCAGGGTCCTGATCTGCTGGGGGCTGGGGAGGAAGGGCTCGACACCAGACAACGCAGTATTGACGATGTGGCACGGCAAGACGCACCGCTTCCACCGAACTGGAACTCCCTTCTGAAACCAGAACCGTCCAAGCCTATAGAACGAAGACTTCATGGCAGCAATACGTCGAGTAAGTTCCGAGCTAAAACTTTGGGTCGGCGTGATATGAGGGCCCAAATATCGGACAGCGTCGCCAATCTTGGTGTCCCGAGCTTTCAACACCGCAGCTGCGCCTCGCCGACAGCTAGGGGGCACCGACACGATCGCCTCTTGCTTTTTCTGGTTACGGCGGACTCCTATACCATGAAGCTCTTCGTCCAGGACTCGATCATTATGGTCTAGCTTCTGCCCCATCTGATAAGGGTTGAAAGGAGGGCCAAGCACGATCTTTTTCAGCAAGTCATCAGCGAACTTCTGCAGTCCAAGGTACACTGGTGAGGATGTGAGCCCAAGCTCTGATGGAAGTGTAGCCCACAAGAGCTTCTCGCCAGGATCATCAGTTTGACAACGGTCAATCCACCTGTCGATCGGCGGCTTAAAGACACGAACAAAACTGGCCACAGCAAACGGATCTCCCTGCAGCGCTCCACACCCAGGCTTGATGAGGACTGAGCCCTCGGATGAGGGTAACATGCGCCCGGCCGTGCGATACCTTTGGCGACAGAAACGACGATCAGCAGGTTGAGCAAGCGTGGTGCAAGCACTGTCCATGGATGACCATTTCGGCGACGCAAACGCATTCGAGAGGTCCTTCAAGGAATCGCACCAATGAACACCTATCTTCGTGAGCCTCCAGCCCGTGATCATGCAGGCCGCAATCGCGTCCTCCCGCCTCCGATGCCTCAAGAACCCATGGTCGCAGTGAGAGTTCTGGAACTGGGGCCCCACCTTGAGGATGCCAGCGAGAAAGCCCTTTCCAAGAGGATCCAGCCCATGAACCACCCGTTTTCCCCTGGGACCAGCGATAGCGGCTTTAGGTATGGCGAAGCCTTGACTTACGTTCCACAGCTTGGGCAGCACGCCCCAGGCACGAATAGACGCTAGAACCCGATGCAAGAGGAGCTTAGCGAACTGGCCGTCCGTCTGCCTAAAATCCGAGCCAAGTCCAGCCCGAGACACTTCAGCACGATGAGCGGTGGGCTTACCTATGCACATATGCCATAACTCAAGAGGCAAGGACCACACTGGAACTCCCCGTCGCTTCGGAGCCCGAGCAACATACTTCTGAAGCAATTCCAGATCCAGAAGGGCCCGTGAACAAGCAGCGTTGGCACTACTATCATTGACCCCTCCAGGTGTGAGCAGCGCGTCCTGATGCCTACACATGGCCTCCCAGTCCCCCTGGACAGCCTGCATACCTCCATCTCCTCCCTCTTGCTCCCACACCTCCATCCACTGCGCTGGCGTAGGCAGAGCACCGTCAAGCTTATGCAAGTCACGCTTGGCACGTCCAAAACGACTGCCCGCAATTCTGAGCGAAAGACGATGAACAAGAGAGAGATCACGAGCACGCCATGCATCCCATAGCTCTTGCACAAGCTGATCATTTCGTGCCGTACGTCGTCGTCGATACAATGATTTGCATTGCTTAGTGAGTTCACGCAACCGTTCACAGCATCGTTCAAAGTCTTCAGAATCACCTAGCTCATTACGTAATCGTCGACGTTCAGCTAACAGTGCAAGTCGCTGGCTACACAGGGAAGACTGCGAGGAAGGAGAGTGTCTGACGCGAGCCTGCTGGAAGTGTCGTGTGCCCACACGGCGTAAGACATAGTCTAACTGCAGCATGAGATCATCTGGCTTCGGCATGTCAGACTGTACAGCTTGCCAGACCTCTTCGAGCTCACGCTCAACATCCCGAACAAAATCTTCACGGACCCGCCCCCCTCGAACTCCTTGCATCATCTTGTCCCTGTCCCACTTAACCTCCTCCCTGTCAACCCCATCTGGTGTACCATTACTACGAACCTGTTGACCTCCCCACCTCTGGATATCAATCTTAATCAAGACTGGTAAATGGTCTCTGGGATCTTTACAAGGAGGAGGAGGAGGAGGAGGAGGAGGAGGACGAGGAGGAGGAGGAGAAGCGAGAGGTGGGCCCCTGACGTGGCCTCCTGCCCGGGGCGCCGCCCTGCGGCCCAGCAGAGCAGCTTCCCGAGCCCCTCGCAGCAGCCGCAGGGCGCCGCGCGGGGCGCCGCGCGGGGCGTGGCAGCGGCGCCGCGAGCAGACCTCGGCGAGGGCCTCCGCGGCGAGAGCCTCCTCCGAGGGGCAGCGTCGACGACCACGGCAACGACATCGACGACGACGACGACGACGACGACGACTGCGACGACGAAGTCGACGACGAAGACGACGACAACGATGACGACAACGACGACGGCAACGAAGGCAGCGACGACGACGACGACGAAGACAACAACGACGACGGCGACGACGACGACGACGACGGCAACGACGACGACGACGGCGGCGACGGCGAATACGACAACGACGATGACAACGACGACGGCGGCGACGACGGCGACGGCGACGACGGCGACGGCGACGACGACGACGACGATGGCGACGACGATGGCGACCATGACAGTGACCACCAGGGGGGATGTGAAGGGGGGGGCCAGGGGGGAAACATCGTGCTGGAATCGGCGATGCAGCGCCGAGAGATCGGCGATAGGCCCCCGATGGCGAATCCGCGCGTTTCTGGGCGGGGTGGGCTGTGGGGACCCCTCGGCGAGGAGTGGGAAGCCTGTGCTCCCCCGACGTCGCCCCGGATCCTCGTGACGGCGTCCGCCCAGTTCGGCAGCCTCATGTCCTCCACGATGGCGATGGCGATGCGCGGAGGAGGGCCCGTGGAGAGACGTCCTCTGTGGGGCCTGCTACAGAGGCTCCTCGCCGCCACGGCTGGTTCCGCCTCGAACAGCGGGTCGGGAGGGACCCCGGGAGGGGCCCGGGGGCCGCTTCTGAGCTGATCTGGGCCCATGGCGGGAGGAACCGCCGCTGCCTCCGCTGGCCCTCCTCCGAGATGCGCGAGTGGATCTCGTTCACCATCCGGCTGATCGTCCGGTACAGCACCTCCGTCGGCGCCTGATCCCCGCCGCCCCCCGAGAACATGCGTTGCTCGATGAGCTCGAGCTCCGCGATCTCCCCCGCCCCGAGCAGCGACGGCCTGCTCTCGCCCAGCAGGGCGCCGAGCAGCCCCGTCGACGTCGCAACGGTGTCGCTACACCTGCTGCTGGCCGCGGTCCCCAGCAGGATCTTCCTGCCGGGAACACGTAGCAAGGCAGGGGCAGAGGTGGGGTTGGATGAAAGTCGCTCCGAGTGGCCCCTGGAAGCAGGAACTGCGAGCGTCCAGCTGGCTTCGTTCTCTAACCCCACCTTGGGACAAAGCCCTCGCTGCGAAAGCCCGATCCTCGCGCCCAGGACCTCTGCCAGCCGGTGCAGCCTGTTGCTGGGCAGCCAGCCGCCGGGCTGCCCGGGCCTCTCCGGGCAGGGCTGGTCATCCGCCTGCCGCAGGCCACAGATCAGGGCGCGCTCCCTGCACAGCTGCTCCACGGCCACCGCGCACAGCCGGAACCGGCGCGCGGCGCGGCTGAGCTCCTCGGGGCAGCCAGGCCTGGCCGTCTCGATGAGCCGCGCCACCAGCCCTATCAGCGCGCCGCACGCCCTGTTGTAGATCATGGATCGGGTGTTGCTAGGAGTACCCCTGGCCCGAGGTACCCCCAGGACTCTCGCGGTGGCCCAGGCGGCCTCCAGGGCACCTCTCACGAGGCCCAGAGAGCCCCAGGGGCTCCAAGATGACGCGCGAAAAGCTGGTGGCACCTTGGGCCAGGGGCACTTCTGGCAACACCCGCATGAACACGGCGTCGAACGGGGCCACGCCGAAGACCTGCTTGCGCGCCTCGGCCAGGATGGCGAACAGGGCGCCAAGGTCGGCCTCGTGCGCCTCCGTGGTGTCCGGCTCGGGCCGCCCGTGCGAGCGGGCGCGCTCGTCCATGAGGGCCTCGGCAGGGCTGCACCTAAACAAAGTTTTTCGTTTTCGTGTTGTTTTCGTTTCCCCTCGTTCTGTCTTCAATCCGCTTCTGCCGCAAAACGGAATCGACACGAAAACGGCCCACGAGATCGCCGAGGCACCGTTCAGGTCCAGCCCTGGGCCTTGGCCTCGCTGATCCGCTTCTCGGTCAGCTGCACGTGCCACTGCAGCTGGTCCCACACGGAGATGCCGCCCAGGCTGGCGGTGCCCGCGAGCGCCCAGCACGCCATGCCGCGCTCCTGCTGGACGTGGACCAGCGCCCGGCAGAGGCCCAGGATGCCCGGCAGGGCGGGGTCCTGCGTCGGGTCGCCGGTGTTCCGCTTCGGCGCCAGGGCACGCCTCGTGGGGCCGAGCTCGGGCTCGGCCTTGTCCAGAACCATCTGCTTGGAGACGCTGCGCTGGAAGGACTCGCCGTGGTCGTGCGCCTGTGCCAGCACCACCCAGGGGTGGTTGTACAGTTCTAGAACGCCGAGACGCTGCCTAGGATCTGCGTTGAGCAGGCCGTCGATGAGGAACTGAGCGTCGCTGGACAGAGCGGGCCAGAGCGAGTGAGACCTGTGCGAGCTCTCGCCCACGTCCTTGGACGGGAAGCCCAGGCACAGCATCACGAACATCAGCACCCCCATCGAGAACGCGTCGGCCTTGAATGCGTCATAGTCGCACCTGCTCGTGGTCTGGGCGGACGACCTCGCCTCGTCACGCTCGATTGGAATCTCTGGCGCGGTGTACGACATCGTCCCGATGGGCGTGCGGGTGGTGAAGCGCTCCAGTGATTTTGCGAATCCGAAGTCGCAGATTATTACGGAGAACAGCTCTTCTGCCTGCCAACCCGACACGCCAGAGGAGTCCTGACGCTCCACCAGGCGCACGTCGATGGTCGACACGAGCACGTTCTCCAGCTTCAGGTCCCTGTGAACCACACCGAGGGCGTGGCAGAACGAGACCGCATCGGCGAGCTGGGCCACAATATGCGACGCCTCCGCCTCCTTCAGGGGCACCGTCCGCTGCACCACGTGCGAGAACAGGTGGCCCCCGGGCACGAAGGCGGTGACGATAAAGACCTGGCGCGTGCTGTCCGAGAAGAACGCGCCTCTGAGAAAGACAACTATCCTGTCTGGAGGAAGAGGTTGGGAAAACACAGGGCTAACAAGCAAATTCGACATACGCGATACAAGGGACCACCTGCTCATGTCTCCCAGCCCCATCCTCCCAACCCGACAGTCGTCCTTTTGAGGCTTGGGCGGTGCATCGTGGGGGGGAGACAAGCCGCGGGGGGGGGGCAGGAAAGGCACACCTTGCGCGCACCTTCGGGGCCCCAGGCGGGCCCCGCCGAGGGCTCTTTCCGGCAGCCCGCGATCACCCCCCTGTTTGATCGCTCCCCCCCCATTGCGTTACGACACGCCCGAACGCCCTGCAAGGAGATGATGCCCGGATGGCTAGAGACCTTCCGCAGCGCGTCCACCTCCCGCGAGGCCATCCGCTCCGCCGCGCGGACGCCCTCCGGGCCGCCGACAAAGCCGATGCGCATGGTGTCGATGATCTTCGCCGCGAACACGGCGGCGCCCCGGACCCGCAGGCAGCGGTAGACGGACCCATAGCTGCCCTCGCCGAGGACCTCCTGGAGGCAATACGTCTCGCCGTCGGCGTCGAAGCTCCTGCAGCCGCGCTCGTGCTTCAACACGGGCTGGAGGGACGAGACGTCGGGCGTGGACTCACCCGGCTCAGCGCAAACCCGGCTCAGCCGATTCAGAGACAAAAAACTGCGCCGCGGTCTTGTTGGGGGCCTCCCCAGATCCGGCTCAGCCACTGTGTAAGGCCGCCTCACGGCCGCGAGCGGCTCCCCAACCCTGGCCATCGCTCGGACGTCCATTCCCTTTGTTTTTTTCGGTTTCGTGCGTTTTTTTTTTCCAGGATGATCCAGGATGCTCCTTAATAATCCCCGCCGAGAAAAAGTGCACACGTCCGTGCGATACCAAGAACCCGGCTCGGCAAAATCGCGGCGTTGCAGGATTTGGCGGTGGACAAACCTCCCTTTAGTAAACCTCCCCTTAGTGAAAAAGGCCTGGGACCGAAACCGACGGACCTGGACCCGCAAAAATGACGACCACGACGCCCTCTCGCGGACCGAAAACGGCTGATTCCTCAATCGACGCGTCAGGGTAGGAGGATCCTGCAGGATCCTGCAGGACCAGGATCCTGCAGGATCCTCCTACCTCCGAAGGATCCTGCAGGATCCTGCGCTCTGGCTGAGCCCCGCTTGCGCTCAACCCCCTCGCCTGCCGGATGGGCGAGCTCAGGTCTCGCGGCGATCCCATCCGCGGCACCGCGCCCGCGCGCCCACGGTGGGTCTGCTCGAGGAGATGCTGTGTGGGCCCAAGCGGCTGCAGAGGAGGAGCGAAAGGAAAAGGAGGGGAGAGGAATCCCAGAGGGGAGGGGAAGGTAGAAGGGGCGGACGAGAGGAGGGAGAAGGAGGGGGGCGGGTGCACGAGGGGAGGTGGGAGAGGTAAGGAGAAGTCCGCGATTAGATCGGCACAATGCCCTTGCGGACCACTTTGCTGACAGCGAGACGGAGTTGACATGTGCCCCGTCTCAGGACCACACCGCCTACGAGTCGGCAAGTGGAAATCGAACAAGCCTCTGCAGATTGCTGTGCTGTGAACGCACCGTTGGCAGCACAGCGATCAGGCGCAGCAGCAACCCACTCGGGAAGCTGAAAAACAACAGCACGCCCACGAGGGCACGGCGACGATCTCAACCGGACGAGACGGACCCGATCAACAAACGATTTGAACGGAGTCGCGCAACCGTCAACCTGGCACGGCTCAGTTCGAGCGCCCCGAACATGAAGAGGCCGAAGATGCAGATACATCTGGAGCCCGGAGCAACAACTATGCTTGGCAACTCGGATGTTCATATTCCTCACTGTTTACATCGTGTTATGCTGACTCGCAGGCTGTTGTGGTGTCGTCGTTGTGGATGATCCGCTACTGTCTGTGAAGACCAGCAGAGTTTGTGCAAGAGCCTTGAGAGGGTGTCCTGGCCAACGACCAACGCAGGTATAGGGCATCTGTGCCGCCTGGGAGATGATCTGATGCCGAATGTAAATCTGGCCATCGTCGTTGTTGTCGTTGTCGTCGTCATCGTCTTCGTCGTCGTCGTCGTCGTCGTCGTCGTCGTCGTCGTCGTCGTCGTCGTCGTCGTCTTCGTCGTCGTCGTCGTCGTCGTCGTCGTCGTCGTTGGGGGCGGCGGCGGCGGCGGCAGCAGCGGCGGCGGCGGCGGCGGCAGCGACTGCGACGGCGGCGGCGACGGCGACGGCGGCGACGGCGATGGTGGCCCGCTGGGCGGGAGCCGCCGCGCCTGGGGCCGCGCGGCCCGCGCAGGGGCCCGCGGCACGCGCTGGCGCCGGCGCCGCCCAGCGGCTGCGGGCGGCGTGGCGAAGCGGCGGCGGCCGCGGCAACGGCGGCGACAACGACAACGACGACGGCGACGACGGCGGCGGCGGCGACAACGGCGGCCCCGACGGCGGCGGCGACGGCGGCGGCGACGCCGGCGACCACGGCGGCGATGGCGACGACGGCGGCGACCACGGCCCCGTCGCAGGCGCTAGCGTGCGGCTGGTGTCGGCGTTGAGGCGTCGCGGGGGCAGCGCCGACCAGGGCATGCCAAACTTGTCTGCTACACGCAAGGCTGAGTGACCCTGGGCATGGGGGGACCTGTGGCGCACGGCCGCTCGTTACACGCGATGCGACAATTGAGGCCCGCGCGCTCAGGTTTGGACCCCCCCCGTGCCCCCCGAGCGACGCGCACAACTGGTCACTCTGGCAAATGGCTTCTCTTCCTGATTTGCAGTCGGGCAAAATGCGTCGCGGGGGGCAGCGCTGGGCAGGGTGGTCCGTACGGCCAAGGAAATCTGGCCATTTGCAGGAGACCCATCTGACTTTGATGTTCCATGTGACGGGGACTCGCTAGATCCTGAGAGAGAGAGAGAGGGAGAGAGAGCACCGCTTATATGACTTCCACACATGCTGCACCAGCTGACCGCAAAGCCAGTGCCCCGGCAATTGTTCCGGAGTCTCGCAATCCTTGGCGACCACGGGCTGCTTCGGTGCCCCGAGGCCGTCCGAGAGAGTGCTCAGGATTGGAGGCCGGCCCCACGGAAGTCGGTGGTTCATAGATGGGGTCCTGAGGGATGGGGTCCTAAGGACAAGGTGCCTCAAGTAATGTAAATCCACCTTTGGATCCCTTCCTATCCTTAGGACTCCATCCCTGAGGACGCCATCTTTGAACCACCGAGGAAGGGGTCGAGAGCTCCCGGGCCTGCGACTTGGGCCAAACGCGTGACTTAGGAAGTCTGGGGGGCAGCGCAGGAAAAAGCGGAGAGACAGAGAAACCCTGACATCCCACAGCACCGAGGTAAAGACAATTATTCACTTCGTGGAGCACCCCATCTATGCATCAATTCGCATGGACCTGTCCGCCGTGAATGTCTAGGCGCAAGAGTTTTCGAATATCAGCAGGCTTGAGTTGTGACGGTCTGGTCATGCATCTAACTGCGAACGAATTGGAGTGTGAATGAGCCTCAGAAGTACGAGCGCGTCTCTGCGCAACCTATAGAAACACCAAGGATTCGTGCCCCAGGAGAGGCCCCAAATATAGGAACATGGTAAAACATCTAGGATTGTGCACACAGGAGAAAGACAAGATCTATAAACATACGTATAACATCAAGGATTCGTGCTCCAGGTGAGGCCCAATCTATAGGAGCATATGTAAAACACATTGGATTGGAGCCACTCCTGTTGCCTTCTGAGGCCTCCTGCTCCTGGGGCCTCTCGGGGCCTCCTGTTGCCTTCCGAGGCCTCCTGGCGCTTCCTGTGGCCTCCTGGGGCCTCCTGTGGCTTCCTGAGGTCTCCTGGAGCTTCCTGGGGCCTCCTGGAGCTTCTTGGGACATCCTGTAGCCTCTTGAGTCTTTATGTGGCCTCCTGGTGCCTCCTGGGACCTCATGTGGCCTCCTGAGGCCTCCTGGAGCCTGCTGGTGCCTCCTGTGGCATCCTGAAGAGAATCTGTGCCCACGAGTCTGGCCACCAAAACAGGCAAACCGATCGAGACATCCTCAAAATCTGGCCCACCTAGGGGGTGAAAATGAGCGCCTGGATCGAGACATACTCCAAATCTGCTCCGAAAGCGGAGGATGTTGGGGACCAAAACAGGCGAACCGCTCGAGAATTCCCCGCCATGGTGGCGCGAACGGAGGCCGTGCAATACCCCTGGCGGCCCCCCCCTCAGGAGGCGCCTCGCACGAGACATCCTCAAAATCTGCTCCGAAAACGGAAGATGTTGGGGACCAAAACAGGCAAACAGCCTGATACATCCCTGCCATTTGGGCGCGAACGGAGGCCGTGCAATACCCCTGGCGGCCCGCCCTTAGGAGTGCTAAAACCAGCAAGCCGCTCGAGACATCCTCTTCATCTGCTCATCATCATCATCATCATCATCATCATCATCATCATCATCATCATCATCATCATCATCAGCATCATCATCATCAGCAGCAGCAACATCGGCATCATCAGCATCATCATCATCATCATCATCACCATCATCACCATCACCATCATCATCAGCATCATCATCATCATACTCATCCATCATACACCATCAACATCATATTCACATCATACTCTCACCATACCATGGTCATCATCATGACAATCCTCATCATTGTCTAGTGCAGAGAGGGAGGAGGGGAGGTGAGATGGTCCGGCGCGGTCGGAGAATAACAAGAACCCCATCATTTGGATATGGGGAAAAACACGCCGTGTCGTCTGCCCCTTTTCGGGCCCTGGGGTCGGGGACGCACTGACCTGTCGGTGGTTCAAAGGTGGGGTCCTGAGGAACGGGGTCCTAAGGACGAGGTGCCTCAAGTAACGTAAATCCACCCTCGGGTCCCTTCCTATTCTTAGGACCCCATCCCTCAGGACCCCATCTTTCAACCATCGAACCTGGGTCAACGCAAACCTGGCTCACTCAGGCTTTGCAGGATCGTGCGCAGTCCCGCGGGATCCTGCAAGATCCTGCGCGCAAGCCCGGGCCCACGCAGCCCTGGCCCTGCAGGATCCTGCGAGATCGGGCGCTCTGGCTGACCCTAGCTTGCACTGACCCCCGTCTCCTAAACTCCAACTCCCCGAAGACGGCCCCCAGAGGCCGGAAAATGCAAAAGCCAGAGGAAACCAAAAGAAAACAGAAAACAACAAAGAATGCTCGAACCTAGAACCTCGAACCTCGAACCTCGAACCCCTTCCTCCTCCTCCTCATCCTCCTCCTCCTCGCTCCTTGAACCCCGATGGGGGCCCTCACCAGTCGATCCGGCTCGAGGGTTGCCAGCGTGTGCTTCTGCCACGACGGGACGACTTTTCAGGGCGCCGGGCCTCGGCGGATTCTTGGCCACGGGCCGCGTGGACGAGACGACGGCGGGCAGCGGCCAGCGCATGGCACGGCAACGGATGGCGAGAGGAGCGGAGGCTGACCTGCGGCGGAGGGGGATCGAGAGAGAGAGCGAGAGAGAGAGGGAGAAAGAGAGCACGGACCAATGGCGTCCAAAGCCTTTCCGAGGCTTCCTGGGCTGGCTTCCGTGAGCGCTGAAGTGTTACCTGCGCCTCCTGTAGGCGCTGGCAACCCCGAAGCGACCTCCCGAACCCTCCAATGAGTCCAAGAGGGCCCCGAGTCGCGAGTTGGGCGTTCTAGCCTTTTTCGGCTTTCCGACGCCCACAAGACGGCCCAAGAGGCCCCCAAAACCACCCCAAGACGGCCCAAGAGGCCTCCAAGAGGGCCCCAAGACGGCCTAAGAGCGCCCCAACACGGCCCAAGAGGCGCCCAGAACGGTGTTCCCCAAGACGGCCCCCAAGGGGCCAAGAGAGGGAACACGAACCGAACATCCTAGATGTCCGCCCCAAGAGGCCCTCAGGAGGCCCCAAGAGGCGCCCAAGGGGCCCCAAGAGGCCCCAAGAGGCCCCAAGAGGCCCCCAGGAGGCCTCAAGAGACCCCCCAAAGGCCCAAAAGAGGCCCCAAGAGGACCAAAACCACCCCTTAAGAGGCATCGAAACTGCATCCAAGAGGCCCCCGAGAGGCCCCCATGAGATCCCGACTGACATCCAGTTGGCTATATCCCCACAGCCCAAGCACGGTTGCGGGATGGGCCGAAAGCCATTCCGTGAATGTGTATGTGTATATGTATGTGTATGCAAGTATGTATGTATGTACGGATGGGTGGATGACTGTGAACATACATTTAATCTTATATATCTGCACTGATATGAATATGTGTATATGTAACTATGCATGTGCACATAAATGTGTATATGGAGATGCATACGTATACAAATA